CGGCCCTTGGCTATCCCTAGCGGTCCAGGTTCATAGTCCAGTGCTTGGCTCCGGTCGCGCAGCTGTCCCTGGCGGACGACGACGAGGAGCTGGGCGCGCGGGACGAGCGGGACGAGCGGGAGCCGCTGCTGCCGCGGATCGCCTGGGCCCAGGCGCGGAAGGGCGCCCCGGGGAACGCCGTGAGGCTGGAGGGGGCTGCCGGGACGGAGGGCGCGGCCTCCCCGCTCCAGGCGGGCGACCAGGAACTGCCGCCCAAGGGCGGGCGCGCGTTCCGCAGCCACCTCCGGGGCGTCGGGTCCCACCGCAGCCCACCCAGGCTGATCCTCCCCGCGGGTTCAGGTGCGCCCGGGCCTTCCTTTCTCCCAGCGCCCCTCCCAGGGCGCCCGGACAGTTGCCCCCAGCCCTGTCCGGCTGGCACTTGCTTGGAAAGGCGGCTCGTCGGGCGCCCCGTCCGCTGTCGAGGTCACAGGGCCAGCCGCCCGTCCGACCCGGGGTGCCTTGCCGTGCCCCCTTTGCGCACCCCTGTTCGCTCGCACCTTCTAGGGGCCGTAAGCTGCCGCACCTAAGGTTTTCGGGTGTCGCTAAACTCTGAGCCTTGAAGTATTCCCTTAAGTGGCTTTAAATTTGGGGGATCGGACATTAAAGGACACTCACTACTGTAGAATGATGTGAGTTGTTTGCTGAGAATGGACTTGAGTTTTGACTCAAAAAGACTGAACTAGCTGGAAAGTTCCCCGAGTTGGGAATTTGCAAGGTGATTGACAGCAGTGATGTTCAGCTCTTGCTGCAAAAACACTTTCAAAGACTTTTTCTACTAAATATTGTTATTGTGACGTTAGCCAGAGGCAGCTGACGCGGTTGAATTTCTGTACCTGCTATCTCTCTTGCAAAGTTTGCTTTCATTTCTGAGTCATGTCTAGTCTTACGTTTGAAAAAAAAAAAAAAGCAAGCAACACCTTTTTCACTATTAAAGGGCCTCCTGGCCCCACGTGAAAGGGGAGTAGTTGGAAGTCTGTAACATTAACATATAACTTCTTCAGGCCTGGGTGTTGTTGATGGAGTAAGATGAGGCTAATTTAGTGGTGAAATAGAAACATGACAGGTGAGTTTGTAAAATGGTGAGAGCACTGACTTGCTGGCAGCTGAGATGTTTTCAGTGAGATAATGTGGGTTCTGTGTCCAATCACTCAGTATGTGTGAACTTTAGAAAACTACAGGAAGTGTCACTTTCCCCAGTGGTTTTTCTGTATTTGTTAGATTACATGTCCTGCTACTGGTATACAAATAACCTTCTATATCCTGAAGCATTTTGGGTAGAATAGGCTCTTCAAGTTGAAGTTGAACTTACAGTCAAACTTATTGTAGAATAAATAAACCAGGGAGGCCCATGGGAAGTGGACATTCCTATCCAAGCGTTAGCAGGTTGACAAAGCTGTAGCAACCCACCTGGCATACAGGTTGGCTGTCATGAGTTTGTGAGCTATGGTTGGGTTGACAGTCCAACAATTCACAGAACTTGAAATTGAGACCAGGTCACGAATGCACCGTTCTTACCCAGCCGTCTTGTTGATTTGGTTATATATTGCTTAGATCCAGTATGTATAATATGGACTAGATCTATGGACTAGCTTGCCTGGTTCTATCCCAAGTTACCTTGAGTTTTTACAAGAATGGAGAACTTTGAAAGTCCACTTGTTCTGTGAAAGTGAACTTTTGTGAACAAATAATATGAAGGCTGAAAAAGGTAAAAGGATATAAAATGGGGTACTGAAAAGAAATTCCTTCTTTGATGGTAATTCCTTCTTTTGCAGTATATTTCATTAATTCTTACCATAGCAAGCCAAATTAGTTATTATTCACAGTTGTTATTGTTACGAGGATTGAAAATGAGTAAAACTGTAATAACCATTGTTTAGAGAATTCTAGAAGTCATTGCACAGAAGTGGTAAAGCCGGAACTGAGCCTGTTCCGTCCTTCTCATCTAGTGCTTTCACCATTTTGCTGTAGATTCCTAAGTATTACCAAATAATTGTTCCCTTTTGTTTCTTATTGGAAAGATTTTTATTTTTAATGGATTTTAAAATAAGTTTGCATTGTAAAAATTATTTTAAAAATCGCAAACCAGTCTCCTAAGAAGTTTATAATTGAGTATTTTTTTAAAGATTTATTTATTTGTGCATATAGAACTGGGGTACAGGCCAGAGAGGTGCATGGGGTAGTGAGAGGATTCACCAGACACAGAGTGGGGAGCAGAACAGGCAGATGGACGAAGTACACTGCTGAGGGGAGCAGCGGGCGGTCAGGAGAGGTCTGCCACGCCATGTGGTCACCTCTGGGGCAGATGGGAATCGAACTCATGCGGAAGTGGCTTTAGCTTTTCAGTGCTGTGCTTTAACCCACTGCACCACCAGGGAGGGCCCTATAATTGAGTATTTTAATTAGATTTTAGGTTCAGTTTATTTCTTGGGTATTTTTTTTTATTTTAATGAATCCATTAACTTCCTTTATTCTTTGCCATTCAGTTTCTATGAAGCCATCTCTCGCCAACAAAAAGCACTGGCTTTTAGATTAATATTAGCATCACTTATGATGTCTTAACTGTTTTGTTTATGTAAACTGAAAGTTTGTGTACTTTAGCCAGTGGGAAATGTCTCATGGTGTTATCTTTAAGAAGCCATTTGATGAAGTCTAGAATCAGCATAAACCACAGTGTTTTTAGATCAGTGTCAAAGTGGCATTAGTAATAGTCCTTGTTTTGGTTGTCATTTTAATCAGTGAATGGGAAAGTAATAAAGATGATGATAGCTAAAACCCACATGGCAGTTCATACAGGGCATAGTTCTATGTGTTGATTCATAACCTTTCCTATGAAGTGATTTTTTAAAATTTTACGTACTTTTTTTTTCATGTTAAGGAAACAGAGAGGTGAAGTGACTTCAAAGTCCCCATTAATACATATCAGGAGCACTTTTTATTGGTTTTGTTGGAGAGCCAAACAATTAAAGAACTGCCAAGGTTCAAAGGAAGTATGTCTTTCTAAGCACACATTACATGAGCATGCTTCAAGACGCTCCCAATGGATGATAAACTTACACGTAGAGGGCTGAGGGTTCCATTGAGGCACACCTTGGGCTTCAAGGTCAGGGGATACTTAGAACAAGAGAGGAAATGACACCTGCCCGGGTACAACAAACTTGTAAGTCAGCTACTCTTCTTTTCAGAGAACATTCTGGCCAGTCGGTGACATGTAGTACCATCCCTCCAGTGAGGAAGATTGCATTTCGGTGTATTTATTTGAAACTTGATATTTCTCTCAAGGACACTTACATACAACTAAATATAAAAGTTTAATGAATGGGGTCTCTTAATTCATCTTCAATTTCTATTTACCAGAGGACCAGTAATAACCCGTAAGTGTGGTTAGCAGGGTAGTTTGTTAATAATTCTCAGGCTCTTGCGGCCTACCATGTGCCACTTGGGATATAACAGATTACAAAACAAAGATCTCTATGCCCTTCTGGGGTTGAGATCACTTGGTTATACCATTACAGATGGGGTTGAAGGACACAAAAGAATTAGCACAGGAAGGAGACTTGGCACATATATGGACGAGCATGGGCAAAGCTTCAGAGGGTGACTGGTGTCCTGTGAAAAGTAAGGTGCTTGTATAGTACTGGAACTTGAGTACAGAGGTTCTCAGAAGTGGGAATATTCTTTGATAACAGTGACAAACCAAAACCCTGTAGTTTATTTGTAGCTTGTTCCTTAAAGTGGATGGCAGTAATTTTAACTGGAAAAAAAAATTAAACAAAATGTAGCTCTTCCGCTGTTAAAAGTACACCAAATAATAACATGAACTTTCTAACCCTAATAATCTTCAAACAGGTGAAAACTTGGGGGAGATTTTCCCCCTTAACTTTGGGGAAGAAAGTTAAAGAATGTAATTGTGAGTTAGGAGTCTGTTAAAATTTATCAACTAAAAAACAATTACTTTGATTTTAGAATAGTTGCTAATGTAGCCTTCCCCCCCCCCCCTTCTGGTTGTCATTAGATAGTAGACCAGTTGTCTTTTAAGTGCCTTTCTGGACTGTTACAGTAAATCCAGAATATTTTCGAAGAATACCCACTTTCCATGTGAGGAAATTACCTAATATATCCAAACGAGTTGCTCAGTTAGAAAGAAATTAAAGGAAAGACTGAGAATATACTGACTGATTTTATAGGTAAGATTCAGATTGACCTGATTTTGGTTGATACGAAAATGTATCCAGAGTGTGATGGCAAGCTCCAAGAGAGCCACATCAGCAGGTTTGGGGATGAACTCATAAAACTTGGCCCACTGAGCAACTTGGTAGCATTTAAAATAATAATGTCAATGTCCCGGCAGTTTCTAAAAGAACTGTTCAAATACAGAATGGGAGCTACCAAGAGTTGCCTAAGAGGCTAACCGGTTCTGTATCAATTAGCCTCTGACAGGACACCTGCAGGGCAGCGACAGCCCATGAAAGTGTCTCTTGATGAGTATCAGAAGGTCTGGTCTCCATTCTCTCCAGTGGGTGCCCAGTGCCTGAGGCCATGTTTTAAGTAGGCACATTGAAAACTGAGGCGTGAAGCAGGAGGGTACAGAAGACACCCCCATGTGGACGGAGGTAGAGATTAAAGGAAACAGGGAAATGGGACATGATTTTCAGCTTTTTGGAAGGGCAACCTCTGGGAAGAGAGGACTTTTGCTCCAGATGGCCGGTCTAGGACATTGAGTGAAACTGGAAGAGGTTTTATTTCAGGAAAAGAAAGAAGTGTATATATTTTCAAACAAGCAAAAAAGGCTCAGGAAGAAAAGGCAGGATTTCTCTTCGGGC